AATAATCGATAATGTAAAATAGGAAGAAAAGGTCCAAAGGGGTAGGGGTAGTGGGAGGGGCAGGGGAAAGGAAATAAGGGAAAGGAAAAATGATGAGAAATGGATAAAGTGGAAATAAAGTCTTTGTAAATAGGGAAGGGTGGAGGGCGTGGAGGGAGAGCTGGGAATGAGGAAAAAATAAGAACCAAGATGCATCATGTAAAGGTACAAGTTCCCAATGAGAAATGTAAATGTATACCTAAAAGGTACCAATAAAAGAATTTTTAAAAAAATAAATGGAAAAAAAATAATGAAATGGCAAGCATGATTGGTTATTTAAAAATGATCTCGAGGCTAGTGGTAAGAGTACTTGCTTCGAATACTCAAGGTTCTGTGCTATATCCCCTCCAACTGAAAAAAAAATCTAGTTTGTTTGAACTGATTCAGTGCATATTTAAATAATACTGAAACAACAAATGTCTCTGGGCTGGCTATCCAAGTGAAAAAATTATTAATGAGCCTTTTGTGAGTTGCCAATTTCCAGGAATTTTTATCAACTATTGTCTTGGTTACTTTTCTCATTCCTGAGACAAAATACCCAACACCCAAAGTTAAAGAAGAAAAAGGTTTATAGTTTGTAGAGGTTTTAGTTCATAGTCAGCTGGCTCCAAGGCAGGATGGCATGGCATAGGGGCATCATGGAGGAGAAACAGTCCATGGCAAAGAAGGTCAAGCAGAAGGCAGCAAAGCAGCAAAGTAGCAGCAGCAACAACCAAGCTTGCCTTTATATTTCATCTAGGCTACATGCCCTTTGGGCAGTGCCACCCACACTCAAGGTGGGGCACCCTTAACCCCAGTATCACACACTTAGTCCCTGCATCACATACCCCATATCTAGCCACTCCAAAAAAACCCCACCTGTTACCACAGGAGGCTTTGGTTGGGGAGCATGTAGATACAAGCCATAGCAACTACTGATGAGAGTTCTGGAAACTCCTACATCATGCTAAATGATGAGCAAAGTAATTTGTATGAGTTATATTCTATGCAGTCTGGTTTTTATGAAACTAGGCCAATTTTTTTATTAGATTTATGCGAGTACGCTAATACATTCTCATAAAGGATCTGTGCTCTTTTGTCCTCACAGCAGGTTATCCTCACAGTCTATAAGTTAAACTGAGTTTTGTTTCAGTTGTTAGTTGCTGCAAAGACACATAAGAAGTTAAGTGATTCCATGGGTTATACAGTGAATTGGCCATACTGGTGGATTCATGTTTATTGACTCATCTTTGTATTGCTCTTTCTTTTGATCTAACAACTAAAAATCTTCTCACAGCAAAAGGAAGAGCTGAACTTCTGAAGATTAATCTTCGTGAAGTCGAGTTAGATCCTGATATTCAACTGGAAGACATAGCAGAGAAGATTGAGGGCTATTCTGGTGCTGATATAACTAATGTTTGCAGGTATGTTTTTTAATGAGCTGTGATCTTAGATATTAGTTATAGATTTTATAAAAAGACTGGTTTTAAAGTCATTGAGTTAACCTTTAACCTAAAGTAACTGCCCATTCTTGTGACTTGTTTTCCTATTTGTGTAATTCCTTTCCTTCTGTATAACTTCATTGATCACTGTTAGATAAATAATTCCGTAACAAACTTACATTTTGATCCATTGATTTTTAAGAAATTTTCACGTCTAACTTGGTAATATTCTGTGTTGGAGTTACCTGCGTCAGCATATAGTAATGTAATTTAGCATTGTTCACCATTATTTGTCCACATGCGGATGAACAAGGTTGATGAATTTAAACTGTGGAAGGAACACATTTTTAAACATTTTCTTTTGAAATTTAATGACATAATTTTTAGACAGTTCACATCACTCAGTAAAGATGATTTTTTTCTTTTACTTATTGTTTTTCTAACTAAAATTGACTTCAGTGGCCTTTAATGGCCCAACGTCTGTTTTTCTCATTTTTCTGCTAGTATTTTTCCTATGTGCATCAGAGGTTAGTGATATACAACAAACTCACATCAATATAGTAAAACACTTAAAAATTTGAAAGTTTTGTTGGCTTGGCCTTCCTAGTAGCTCTTTCATGAGCATGAATCACCTATGTCTTGCAGACCTTCATATTTATTTGCAGCAGGTCTAACAGAGATGCAAATGGAATCAGGAGAGATCTTTATGCCTATAGAGAGTCCAGGTGGGGAATTCATGTCCACTATATATAGATACATTCTTGTTCTAGAGAAAAGTTCCTGGCTTTGTCCCGACTAATTAAGTTGTAGAGAAACTTGCACATGGTTTGAATTATCTTAACATTAGCCATTTGTTTGTTTCCAAGTATGCGTTTTAGTATTTCAGAGTTTGACTTCAGTTTCCAAAACTCCTTGGTTGTTTTTGAGGGATAGGCAAGGAAAAGAAAATTCACCACTATCTGAGCTCATTACCTAGATTTTTATGATCCATTAACTGTACATTTCATGTTTTAAGTGTTTTGCATTCTGTTTAACTTCCCCTGAATCCTCAGAAAGCCTCTGAAGTGAAAAAGTCTAAGCCGTATAATAAAAACTTAATCTTTTGAATGCTTTCTCATAACTTTGTAACAATTGAAAGCGTTGAAAATACTTGTAAGAGTTACTGTTGACTGATTTTGGTATATTTTCAGGGATGCGTCTTTAATGGCAATGAGGCGGCGTATCAATGGCTTAAGTCCAGAAGAGATCCGTGCCCTTTCTAAGGAGGAACTTCAGATGCCTGTTACCAGAGGAGACTTTGAGTTGGCTCTTAAAAAAATTGCTAAGTCTGTCTCTGCTGCAGACTTGGAGAAATATGAAAAATGGATGGTTGAATTTGGATCTGCCTGAGTTTTTTGTTAGTGCTTTCAGTTTTGGCATTTTTGTTTATAAAATGTAAGGAAATTCCTGAAATTTTTTTAAAACAGGTTTGGAATTTTTCATTGGAAATATTGAAAAAAAAACACAAAGAAAAATCTAAAACTACAATAAAGCTAAATATATATGAGAAATGAAAAAGGCTTATGTAGAGTCTGGGTAGGCATGGTAGTGTGTGCTTGTAATTCCATCTACACAGATTGGAAGCCAGCCTTGGATACATAGTGAGACTATCTCCAAAAACGTGAAAAGCCCTGATAGTCTGGTGGTCATCCTCTTCTTCCATATACTCATGCATCAGTACTGTATACTCAAAGCAGTATAGCAGGGAGGCTTAAGAACCTAGCAGTATACTATTTTAGAAACTTGTTTACAAAAGATTTAGATGAATCTGTTTCTCACTTGAATTTGTTGGCTTTTGTTTGTGTTTTCAATTCTTTGCTCTGTGAACATGAGGTCCCTATGTGTGTTGGTCTTCAACAGCAGACCTGGGTTTGTGTCAAATTGATTAATGGTTATGAAAAGAATGACTAAGTTTTGGAGAAAATAACAAATTTGCTACTTAAAGCTTTGTAATTCAATTCTTACTGAGTCTAACATATGGGTAAAATAGTTACTCTTCCCTTCCTCATCATTTCTTCTATTAGCTATTTTATTATTTCTTCAAGATTGCATTAGAAATTCTTCTTTATTATAGACTTCTAAATCTACTTTCATTTTTCTTTCAATATGCTCGAACAGATACAGCCATTAAATTTTTCAGCTCCAACATTGATTTTTGTTGAATGCAACTTTATCATTGGATACATACTTCGTCATTGTAAACAAGTTCACCTTCTGTGGCTAATGCAAAACAAAATCTTTATAGTTTTCCGAACAGCCTATTTAATAGAAATTTGAAAATTTTTAGCATTTGTATACACAGTAAGATTAAAATAGAAATGTGATGTACTTAGTTCAGCATGAATTAGGCAGTAGAAAGGACCCAGGAAAGGTAAATAGCATGTATCTAATCACAAATCCTGACACTTTATAATTAAATATATTTATCCTATTTGAATTATTAGGCATTCTGAGCTTTAATGATCAGGTTTTTAAAAATTTGTATTTATTGGCATCCTGAATTCTCAATTTTGGATAAAATCAACTAGTTTAAAACTAAAAAAATACAGCTAAATAATACAGCTTATTCTATTAAGTAATGCAGCTTATTAAATAATACGGTCTTTTAGAATCTTGCTCAAGAGATTTAATTATTTTTCTTTTCTTATTAAGATCTGTAGTTGCCTTATGTTCTTCTCAGATAATGTAATTCTAACTCCAGTATTCATCTAATGCTATAAATTGCCCTTTTTCCTTTGAGAGATTGTAAGACCAGATTACAAGGCATCATGATTTTATTGTAATTGAACTAATTCATCTTAGAGAATTGAAATGAGCAAAGTTTGTTTATTCATAAACTTTTTAAATAAGTATTCCCACTAAAGTTATCTTCAAACTCTTGCCATCTAGTAATGTATTTTTCCCCCAGATTCTTAGGGATAATCATTAAAGCATTAGTGTTCGATTGTTAAAACTTTTCTGTAATATTTCAGTTGATTAGTAGGACTTTTTAAAGTTTTACAATATTTATTTTTGCATCCATTCAATTTTTTTTCTGACTTCTTCATGGATAATGACATGGTAATTATGATTCTTTCATTACCAGTTAAGCAGTATTTGAGAACTCAGGTTTCCTGGAAGCTTATCATTACTCTCATAAGTTAATCACATGTGCTTTTTTATTTCCTTCATTTCTCATTTTGTTCTGTCAGTGGATAGTGAACGCTTTGTATACCATAAACCTCCTAAAGAAACTTGAAGAGATTCCTCAGGTGTTCATTCTATCTAATGTTTAGTATATAGCTGTCTTTATTGCAAAAGACAGTGAGTTGTTTTACCTAGAATGAGATAGAATTATTTTGTGGTTTTTGTTTTTTTGGAGAGTTTTGTTTTTTTACACTGGAAAAGCAGATGGATTAACAATGTAGAAATATTTGGTTCCTTTACTCTGAAAACATGACTATTTTGACTTTTATAGCACAGTGATTTTCAGATTAAGTTGTAAGTTGTATGTGATTCTTCTTTGCAACTATCTGATCAGACAGTCTCTTCACGGACAGACCTGTGGTTCCTTACTGTGTGCAAGATATTGGTGAGAGGAGCTGAGTTCCAGTTGGACACTTTGTGTGATTATTCTGTGTAACTTCTGGCTTCTGCTGCCAGATCAAGAGTTTAGGTCATATGTAGAGAAGGATAGGAATATGTGTGTGTTGGAAAGATGATAGGAAAAGTTTTCTGCAGCTCTTTTCTACTCTTTAGTTTTTAAATTAAAACATATCTATTTGGTTGAAAAATATAAAGCTATTATAGATCTGTTTTAATGAAGCAATTTTTATCATTTTCCACACCATAACTACCCCTGTAATTATGCTACACATGTATACAGGTCCTTTTTAAAAAAATTAATATTGGTGAAATACACCAATAATGAGACAAATGGATCTTTAATGGAGGCTACAACCTTTTAGTCATCCAAGTAGAAAACAAGATAGCATGATAGCCTTTATCTTCTCAGTAGCCATGTAGCCATTCCAGAATGACCAAAACCTACTTTAGGCTGTGACACCTGTCTGCAGTAACATCAAGGCACTATAGAAGGGGAAACATACCATGGGCTAATTGTATAGTTAGGGCTTGCTTTGAGCTCCTGATATTGCAGCTGTTGTGTTGTGATATTTGACTCTCAAAGATCTCAAAAGAGAGACTGAAATCACCATACAAAAAGTAAGCAAGTTGCCAGGGATTTAGCTCAGTGGTTCCGCCACCTGCCTCACAAGCACAAGGTCCCGAGTTCGATCTCCGGTACCAAAAAAACAAAACAAAACAAACAGTAAGCAAGCAGGTTATCTGGTGAATCTCATATAACCACTACACTGATACCTCAGCGAAGAGTGTGTGTATACAACCCAAATTCACTCTTTCACTTTGCTGTATGTAGCTTGACTTTGTTGGGCATGAAATTCTTGAGTTCATTTGACTTAACTTTCTTGAAGGTAAGTTTCTGTATATTCTGAATCTGTGTTAAGAATCATAAAACAATAGCTAGTTGACATAGTTACTTATCTCATTTCCTTCTCCCCAAAACTTGAGATAAAGTGAAGAACGAGGCAAGTTAGTTCATGTTTTGAGTGGGCTTTGGCTCTTTCAGTGTTACCTTGGTTATTGAGTCTTCTTTTTGCATAGATTCCCACTCATCTTTTTAAATTCTTAACTACACATCACCATAGGGCATGTTTTGTATGTTAGAAATGAAATGTTAAGGATATATGCTGGCCTTTCCCAGGAAAGACCCATTTGTTTGAAGAAAAAAAAAATCATTAACGATTTTTTTTTGTATCTTTGTTAGTTGCTTAACTGTTTTGGTTGTGTAGTAGTTTTACATACCACTTAATTTGTGATGCACATAATATTTATGTGAATCCAGGAATCTGTCACACAGAAAAAAGTCGGAAGAATTACAGTTAGAGGATATGTTAGGGGGATAAAAAAATACCTCAAGTGTTTTCCTCTCCTCTCCTCTCCACTAACTATTTTTTGTAGGAAGAGCTAGAAAGTCTGTTGTTATTGCTGTAAGTTTGCTTATTTATGCTGTTAAAGTAGGCTTTTCATATTTATTTATTTATTTTGGACATTTGTTTTTCATATTGTCTCAATGTGGAAACTACGAGTATTTAAAGGTCAAATCTGTTCAATAATGGATATTTTTACACATTCACCTCATTAACAGTAATTCATTGAATTTTTATTAAGTCTTTTGGCTCCAGACAACTCTTTAGCTTTGATGATATTTCTCAATTTCAGGTGACTTCTTAATAAAAACAGGAAGAAATGTTCAATTATTGTCATAAAAATTCTTTTTTCTCATTTCTTGAGAAAACAAAATTAAAACTTGGATATTGTTTTATCACTAGCAGTGTGTAGGTTTTTTTACATTGGCACAACAAATAAAGAATTAGTATAGAAATGTTTCCCTCCTGTAAAAAGACTTGTATTTGATTTTATGTATAAAATGCGCTTTCACTTCACACTCTCTGAAATTATTAAATACTACAGATGTTTGGAAAACCTGAATCCACACGTGTTATTTTCACTCTCTACCTCAGTTAACCATGCGTTTTAGGCAGGAATAAATTGCAATAAATTCAGTTATCTGTGCAGCTTTGCTTTTATTTTATTTTATCTATTTGGGGGGAGGGTTCTTTTTTAACTTTATTTGTACATATTTGTCATACACATTTTTCACATTAATCATAAGGAATTTGTACCTGGACATAATATCTTCATTCATTCTTCCCCATTCCTCTCTCTTCCCTTCAGTTCTTCTTCCCCTCCTCATTTACAAAAGCGTTATTTCCATTTTTCCTTCTATTTTTTCCTTTTCCCTTCCTTCCCTTCACCCTCCCTCCTCCCTTGTTCCCCTTCCCATTTGAATATGTTCTTCATGTTTCCCAGTATCTACCCTCCATTATGCTTCTTATTTACCCTTTGGGTTTCTCACACAAGAGAAACAATGCAATATTTAAACTTGTGTGTGCGATATATTTCACTTAAGATTATGTTCTCAAGGTATATCCATTTTCCTACAAATGACTCAAGTTTATCTTTCATTATGCCAGAGTAGTACTCCATTGTACATAAATACATTTTCTTTATCCATTCATCTGTTGATAGACATATGTGCTGTTTCCAAGATTTAGCTTTTATAAATTGTACTGCTATAGACATGTATGCATATATCACTGTGGTATGATGCTTTATAACTTTCAGGAAGATATCTAAGAAGGGAACTGCTGGGTCAAATGGAATCTCTAGTTTTAGTTTTTTGAGGAATCTCCCTACTGATTTCCATGGTGATTGTACCAGTTTACACTCCAGCAATGGAGAAAGGTTCCTTTTTCCCCACAGCCCTGCCAACATTTGTTATTGGTTGATTTCTTGTTGATAGCCAATCTTTTGGAGTGAGACGGAATCTCAGTGTTGTTTGAATTTGCATTTCAAATGACCAGTGATATTGAACATTTTTTCATATGTTTATTTGCTGTTTGTACCTCTTCATCTAAGAAATGTCTATTCATTCTAGATCCTCATTTTTGGATTGGGTCTTTAAATTTGGGGGCTCTGATTTTTTTCAGTTCTTTATATATTCTAAATGTTACCCCTTTGAGAAACTGCTGGTTAAAATTTTTTCCCACTCTGTGGGTTGTCACTTCACTCTGTTGGAAGTTTCTTTTGCTATGAAAAAACTTAATTTGATGTGATCCCAGTTGTTGATTCTTTGTAATACAGTATCTCCTGTGGGCTTTTGTTCATAAAGTCTTTGCCTACACCTATGTCTTCAAGAGTTCTGCCTATTCTATCTTCCAGCAGATTTAGTATTTCTGTTTTAATATTTAGATCTTTGATCCATTTTGAGTTTAGCTTAATGCATGGTGAAAGGTTTGGGTCTACTTTTAATCTTCTGCATGTGGAAAGACAGTTTTTCCAGCACCATTTGAGGCTATATTTCTTCCAGTGAACATGTTTGGCCCCTTTGTCAAAGGTAAGGTAGCTGAAATGTCCTTGGAGTTGTTTCTGCATCTTCTTTTCTGTTTCATTGATCCTCAGGTCCATTTCTTTTTTTGGCCAGTATCATGCTGTTTTTTCATCACAGTAGCTTTATAACTTCAAATTGGGGACTGTGTTGCCCCGTACCTTGCCTTTGTTGCCCACAATTGCTTTTACTATGCTAGATCTTTTCTGGTTCCAAATGAACTTTAGAATTGTTTTCTTTAATTTTGTGAGGTATGCCATTGGTAATTTGATCGAGATAGCATTAAATCTGTATAATAATTTTGGAAGTATGACCATTTTCACTTTATTGGTTCTTCCTCCCCAAGAACAGGTGATATCTTTCCATTTTCTGATATCCTCTTCAGTCTCCTTTTTCAGAATACTGTAGTTTTCAATGTATAGGTCTTCCACTTCCTTTGTTAGGTTGATTCCTAAGGTTTTAAAAAAAAATTTAATGCTATTGTGAAAGGTGTTTCCCTAATTTCTCTCAGTGAGTTTGTGTACAGGAATGCTATTGATTTTTGAGTTTTGACTTTGTATCCAGCTACACTAATAAATTTGGTTATTAAATCTAGAAGTGTTTTGGTGGAGTTTTTAGGGTTTTCTATGTAGAGTATCATGCCATCCACAAATAATAATAATTTAACTTCTTCTTTTCCTATGTTTGCTCTTTTTATTATTTCCTTTTCTCTAACAGCTTTTAGCATTCTGTTCTTACACTGAGTTTCTGGAATCTTAACTATTATATGCCTTGGTGTAGTTTTTTTCTGATCACCATTTGAAGTTCTATGTGCCTCACTTACTTGTATCTCAAATTCTGTTACCATCCTTGGAAAGTTTTCAGCTATTATGTGAACAGGTTTTTTAAGCCCTTTGTGCTGTCTTCTGATTCTTCGTTGATTCCATTTAATCTTATATTAGTCTTCTTTGCATTGTCTAGCAGCTATTGGATTGATTTTTGGGGTCTCTTACTCTTAAGTTTTTTCATTTGATGACCACCAACCACAACTCTGTCTTCTAGATCTCATATTCTATATTAAGATTGGTTGACTTTGCTACATATACTTTAGTAGAATTGTTAATCTCCTGGATTTCTGTTTGAATCTGTTTTATGGCATCCAGTCCTTTTTTATGTTGGGTATTCATAGTTTCCATGTCTTTCCAAAGCTCCTCTATTTTTTTTTTTAACCTGTATCTATACTAGATTCACTAATGATTTCCTTCGTTATAGTCATCATCCCTAAGTATTTCTCTTTTGGTTTTGTCAGTAGGCTTATTTATCTTTTTTGTTACTTCCACTGCTGCCATTTCATAAAATTCAGCTGGTTGTCTTTGATTTCTTCCACCTCAGTGTCCTCTTTATTTGCCTTGGATGAATTGGGGGTTATGAGTTGAATCTTGCTTCCATGTTTTCTCATTCTTTTGTTTTTTATTTGTTTTCTGTGCTGAGGCTTGTACATTGTTTATGGTAAGTACTTTATTACTAACATTGAGACCTCTTTAGAAAATGACTACTTTTCAGAAATGTCTTCTAGGCTTGTCTGGCTCTTGGCTTGAGTCTATCCTAGGATCCTGCATCTTCAATTTATTAAGGATGAAAGGTTGCTGCCTTTTTGGCCTAATACCCAGTTCTTTGGTGCTGGACTATAGTACTTTTTATGACTCCTAGATAATCTAGGTATTGGCATACAAAGAAGATCAGTTGATCATTATGCCACCTTGGCTAAAGTAATATACAATCAGTAATAACAGCATCAAGCCCAGACTGGAAAATGACAAACTGATAATTTGATGCCTTTATTAACCATAGGTACAAGATTTGTAGTTACATAACAAAATCTAAGACAAATCAGAAAATTATATACAATAAATATCCACTCAATAGAGTGATTTTACCCTCAGGAGAAAATTTAACAGGGATAAGAGGAAAAATAGAGAAATAGAAGAGAAAAAAACTCGGCTAAAGGACAAAGGAAGATTATCTAAGCCTCAGGAAACTGGTGAAGAAGACAGGAGGGAAAGAAGGAAAAAACAACGAAACAAAACTAAAAAAATGTCCACACCCAACAAGAAAACACACGGAAAAAGCCAAAACAAAATGAACCAAAAAAACCACTAAAAATGATGGGAGAAAAAAAAAAGTTTCTCTGTGATTTCAATCCTATGGTGGTTTTAACAGGGTTTGCAGTTTTATGATGGTGTCCAATTCAGGGTGTGACTGCTCTTGCTGGTAGATGAGGCAGAGTCCAGATCCCCACTGGATAATCCCAGTAAGCCTGCAGTAGGATTAGGGTGGAGTGCTGGATAATCCTAGAAAGCTTGCAATAGTATTAGGTTGGGGAGCTGGATAATCCTGGAAAGACTACAGTAAGATTTGGGCTATGTGCTGGTTCTGGTACTTTTGAATCCACAGAAGTTCAGGCTGAACCTGCCTTCTGATTGTGGGGCTGAGGTCTTGAGCCATTTAGCTTATATCTTGCCAGCAAGACTGCAGCTCCCTGACCCTAGATGTCTCCCATGAATGTACCTTACCAGTCACTAAGTTGTTAACACTGGGATCCCTGAGATGGAGCCAACCCACAGCTGCTCTGAGTCACTGGTTCAGTTGGCCCCTCCCTAAAATGGCATCTGACCAAGTACTGTCTCCAGGGAACATTGCAGTCACTTGGACTGGATTCACAGGCTGTCCTGTTGTACAGCATCTACTGCTCTTGTTCACTGGTGCATTTCTCCCTGGAGGCCTTTGGAGTCACCCACTTCATTGTATTGCTGTAAATTTGTTCTTCCTTTATCACACCAGGACCCAGGAAGAAAGTACAGATTGCCCTTATTTCTGTGTTGAGTTCTGTTTTCACTGTCTCTATGGCCTCCATTTTTTTCTTCAGATTCTTCCTAGGTCCAAGGGATCTACCTCCCTCCTTGTCTTCTCCAGGTTGTTATTTTCCAGTGTGGATTCCGAATCTTGGAGAGGTTGATTTCTTGCCCCTTACTGCTCTGCCATCTTTCTGGAAGTCTCTAGGGTTGTTTCTTTAAGCACTCCTTTCCTTCTGTTCTTGCCTTCCTCCCATTACCCTTTCTATTTAAACCTGACAATTTAAAAAAAGTATATTTTGTTATTCTTCCTCTGGAAAAGCCATGTATTTCAGATTAA